GGAGTGGATCCTGTAAACCTTATATGTGTATTCTCATATCTACCTAGCACGAGGCCTTTTGGGAGCTCACTGGCTTCGGGTTCCGTAGGAGTTCCGAAGTTAAACGAGTATGGGGTGAGAGCATTCCCAGGATGGGCGACCCACTGGGAAGTTCTCGTCTAAGTTCCCAGAAACAAAACCGTGAGGGCGTGGTCGTGGCCCAAAACAAACAATATCGTGCTATGGTGGAATCAAACCCAGAATATAATGGGGGCCCGAACCGGAATGTCACACCTAACTTGTTTTTAATCAATACAAAGTTGTCTTCATAATCTAGTCGCAAGGGGTCGATACAACTTGAGAGAATCAGGATGAGATACATCTAACATGTTGAAAATAATGTCTTCGCCTAACAACGATCACAAATAGCCAATACAAATATTTTGCATAAAATCAATAGGTTTAGTTACACTTTACAATAATTTATGTATGATAGATGCTAACTTTGCCACTCTGAGGAGAGATTACAAACTCGCCCATCACACTTGAGCTAAGTTGCTGCAACTTATTATGCGAGAAATTCCAGTTTTTAGTACACAACGATTACCATTTTGCATAGATACATTATGAGTCCTATAAGGTTATTAAGGGTAAGGTCTCGAGTTCGAGCCTTGTGAATGGAGCACTCATCATTGAGAGAGCTTGTCCTCCGAATAGGGTCTGATCCGGCTTAAGGGATTAGTCCTCGCCTACATGCGGGGGAGACCCTGGATTCATCCAATAAAAATTTAGGATTGATGTCACAGTTACTCAGCACGATTAATCATAATCAAGCATACCAAGTAGTTAGGGGCATATTTACTTACTTTTTAGGTATCTGAATGATGTTTAGTTGTTAAGGTATGGGATAAACAATCCCATCATACTGCTACTTGTTTAAAATTGAGTATGACATAGTCAATCTCAATGTGAGAACTACTTAGGTCATCTCCAACTGAGGGCTGGTCAGAGGGCTCATTTTAGCCCTCTGGCACTCCAAGATTCTCCAAGATATTAATATTTTAATGAACAGTACAGGGCCATATTTGCCTCCGTCTCCAACCGAGGGCCAGAGGGCTCATTTTAGCCCTGCCACAAAAAACTGTCTCCAACCGAGGGCCAAAGGGCCAAACATAATTTATATTTAAATTTAAAAACTACAACAACTTAAATTTAAAAACAACTTAAATTTAAAAACTACAACTTATATTTAAAAATTACAACTAAAATTTAAAAACGACAAATTAAATTTAAAAACTACAAATTAAATTTGAAAACAACATTAACTTAAATTTAAAAACTAAAACAACTTAAATTTAATATCCGTAATCAACATCATCTTCATCATCCGCCATCGTAGGAGTACAGTCAGATGTAAATAACTGTCGTCGGCTCATAATTTCTTTTTTTTTTTCCTATCAAAATAGACCTTACTCATTGAAGTGTAATTCGAAGTGTTCCTTTCCATATTCTTATCATCCATCTCTTCTTGTATTTGTTTTGCCCGTTCTTCATGCCTACGCTTCATTTCTTCGGCCTCAAGGGCATTTTGCTCCGCCAATAATCGCAATGAGGCCGCCACTTCATGTTGAGCGGCGTAATTATCATTTGTCTTGCCCTTTTCCTTCAACCTTTGCGCCTTGTTTCGTCCCATAGCCCTAGATATGGAACCTTCACCCGAAGACGGATTTTCTACCCTTTTTGGTTGAATGGTTGGAGATCCATCTTCATCCATATCTACAACTGAGGATGCAGTTTCGAACACCGGCGTAGGAGCTTTCTTTGGTGGATCTTCAAATAACACCCACCCTTTACAAATTTCCCAACAACTGTGAAACTGAAAGGGTTTTGAGCTGCTCTCCATATACAATTCCTCCACTTGGCGTACCTAGAAAAAAATTAAAGGAAATTAATTTATGAAATTAAATGTAATATAATTAAATATTTAGAATAAATTGTGAAAACACTTACTTCGTCGTAGTAATTAGTGCCACTTTCATGTCTACTTGCGGCTGCTAACAATGCTTGATGCCATTTGTTCAAACTTGGCTGAAGATGTTTCTTCCATCTTGAAGAACAACTATCGTGGTTTCGAATATTCACTGGAGTGGTGCCTTTATAGAACTCTAAGTATTTTTTTGACACACGAGTCCAAACACCGTCATTTGTTTGACAATTCCCCCTCACACTATCTTCTGACACCCATCTATAAGCCTTGCAAAGAGCTACATCTTCTTTTCGGGTCCAAGCCCTACCTTTCATTGTAGAAGAGGCCATTTCAAAATTATTAAAAAAATTGAAGGATAGATTTTTGAAAGAGGAAGGAAAATATGAGAATTGAAATGGTAGGAATGGTGAAAATTTTGTGAGGAATGGTTTAGGTATTTATAGGAAAAAAAATAGAATTTAAAAAAAAAAAAAAAAAAAAAAAGGCCCAAAAAACCCTAAAAAAAAAAAATTTGAATCCAACGGTAGCTGACGTTAGTTAGCCGTTGGATTCAAAATAATCGATAGGAATACATTTATATTAAATAATATAAACGAAATCCTGTCAGTTATAACCGACAGGATCTCCAGTTTTTCTGGCCAGCCTCGGGCTGGCTGCTTACAGCCAGCCCTCCAGCCCTCTAGCCCTCTCCGATTCCGTAGGGCCCTCTGAGATTCCACAGCCCTCTGGCCTAGCCCTCGGTTGGAGACGGTTTTCAGGCTATTTTCGGCCCTCTGGCCCTCTGGACCCTTCAGTTGGAAATGGCCTCACATTTTCATTCCTTATGCATTAGTAAACACATAATATGTCAAGATCGAGATGATACACATACTTAACAAGCCTGAATCATAGGCTTTTAACTCAAGTATACGTATTTTTTTAGGCATTTTAGCCAAAATGGTCCCTAATGAGATTGACATAACTTTTCACTTTGATCCATGAGATTTGAAATTGATAAGAGTAGTCCCTTATTTTGGCCAATGTCAATTATTTTGGTTCTCCCGTGAAAAATCTCTATTAAATAAGAACCAAACTGATAAAAATACCCACAAATTAATAAACAATGGCCAAATGATTTAACAAAATTTGAGGGTATTTTTGACATTTTCTCCATATTTAACGGCTGTTTTTCACGAAAAAACCAAAATTATTGACGATGAACAAACTCAGAGACCACTTTTATCGATTTTAAATCTCAATGACCAAAGTAAGGAGTTATAACAATTTTATAGACCATTTTAACTAAAAAGTCTTTTATTACAAATGATACTACTATTCTATGCTACGAGATGCAAAAAGTTTAAACTCGAGATGCAAGAATTGGAAAAGAATACTTACCCGTCATGACAATTCATCACTTATATCAATACAAAATGTTTTTAAAGAAAAATATTTTGTGTATTTAAATTGTAAGAGGTTGACAGATAACAAATGACTAGTTTTTTTTTTTTTAAGGAAAACTAATGAAAAAGGCATGAAAATTTCAAGTTTTAACGATAAGGACAAAATAAAGGATAAAATGAATAATATCATGATTGACTTTTTAGTGTAAAAATGTGGTTTTTCGTTAAAGTGAACAGTACTTTTAGTTAAAGTTCCTTTATTTTTTTATTTATACAAAAGAATTATACTACGCAAGCAACTAATCACAATCTGGAATTTATAGTACTAGCCTTTATGCACGTGCTCACACGTGTGCATAAGGCATTTTTTGAATCATAGCGTGCTACTCGAGACTTATATGTTTTAAATGTATTTATATGCGTAGATTGACAAAAGGAAAGTCAAATATTTGAAATAAATGAATAATCTTAGATCATGCTAGAAGAAACCCCTCATAAACCAATTAAAACAGCTGAATTCACATAATAAAATCAGTCTCTATAGAATTTACATTAAGAATAGAGAAAATAATATTTAATAAACAATTGATTGAATCATATTATTGCTAGCCCATTGTGAGGCTAAACCCACCCCTTCCCCTTAGTGTAGATAATATCGTTTATTTAAAAAAAAAATCATTTGACAATTAATTTAATCACATTATTATCCGTGTGCGAAATACATTTTTTTATAATCGGCATTACACGTCTCTTAAGATATTTTAAACGTGTTTAAAAATAGAGAAAATAATATTTAATAAATAATTGATTGAATCACATTATTGCTAGCCTATTGTAAGGCTAAGCCCACCCCCTTCCTCTTAGTGTAGATAATATCGTTTGCTAGAAAGAAAAAAAAAACAATCATTTGATAACTTATTTAATCACATTGTTATTCGCGTGCGAAAAACCTTTTTTATAACTGGCATTATACATCTCTTAAGATGTTTTGAACGTGTTTAAAAATAAAGAAATTGAATCACATTATTACTACTTTATTGTGAGGTACTAATTGAAAAAAAAAAAAAAAAAAAAAGCACCAAAAAGTAAATTATTAAAGAAATATTGTTAAAATAACGAAAATGCCTCTATCTTATTTCATGTATTATTTTGGAATGCTATTGAAGTTTTTTGTTTTGAGGGCATTTTTGTCCATATATTTTTGTTGAAGCATGACAACACCAAATCACTATTCACCTTTTCAATTCTCTTTATATATAATAGATTACCATAAACCTAATACTATTTATGGGTTGACCTAAGATTTTCTCTCTTATTAGAAGTAAGACCAACATTATTATTTGAGCCGATGACTTACAATACTTATATTCCACATGGTACGTTAACAATCAATTATTTTTTAAAGAAGAAAAAGATACATTAATATTTGAGCACGAGTTGACTATTTTTTCTTAGATTCGAGAAATACACATTTTGTCACAGTTTGAACAAACCTCTTCATGAAATGACCAGGAAGCCCTCCCCGTCCCAGCTGCGACGAGGATAAGGTGCATACGGTTCCTCAAATTCCAAGGCCAAATCCGTAAACTAAAGCAAACGAATTTTGGAGGGCCTGAAAAAAAGCGCCAGTAAAATTGGAGGTATTTGAAAACTTCTGTTAGAATCATCGACGTGGGAGGTTTCGATTGGCGGCCATCCCATCGTTTTAGGTTTATTGAAACTTTCTCTGTCCCTCTCTCTGGGTCTCATTCACTCTCGCCGGTCGGTGTAATTTCCCGGAAAATTCCCGATTTTCTGACCAGATTCCCCGACCGCGAGCGTTTCATTTTCTCGAAGCACCGCCTCGAATCCCGTCCAATTCGAATCGAGTCGCTCGGTAGTTTCGAATTCCTGGGACGCGGACCTGGGATATGATGCGATTCAATGGGATTGTGAATTTTCGTTGAGGTTTTCGGATTCTGGTTCTGAAGCAGTCTTAAACTTCGGATTATAGAAGAGGAGGAAGAGATTTTTTCTGGGTCCGGTGAGTTTCTGTTTCTGTTTGGTTGCCGAGAAAATCGAAGAAAATTCAATAAAAACGCGTTGAAATTCAAAATTTTTCTCATTTCTTTGTTTGGAGATGTAAATAACCAGCGTCGGAATCAAAGATTGGGAAACTTTCTATTATGGGAATGAATAAAATTTGGAAATTAAATTCGTGAATTGCTTTGAATTTTGAACAATAATTTTTGGATAATTAATTTTGCTGCAGGGATTTGAAGAGGGAGAATATAAAAGGTGTTTGATTGAAGGCGACGATGGCTAGTCAAGGCGGTTCTTCGAGAAGAAGTCTGTCATTGACGAACGCATCGTTGCATGACAAGAAGAAATCCTCTGATGCTAATAACGGAGGCCCTGATTCTGCCCGAAAATCTTTCACGGCTTCTCGTCCCATGTGTGTATCGATTTTTGATATATATATATATATATATTTTATGTATGTGTATGTATATGTATAAGTATATATTCAATGAATGAATTTTTTTTTTTTTTTTTGAAAGAATTGAGCTTTTACATGAATGTGAGTTGCCTGAAAAACCCCATGATTGTGTAATTATAGAACAGTAAAATTTTTATGGTGGTTGATTTCGATGTTCTGATTAGAAGTTGGGAACTGGTAGATATTGAGATTGAATAAGTTTTTGATGTAAAGGACAGATAATTAATAGGCATGTTCTGTTTGAAGTTTTGTGCATTGGAATGAAAGTGACAATAGTCTCTTCTATGTTTGCATTTTGGGCCAGGGGGCTAACTGGAGAGCGGACTGTGAAACGATTGCGGCTATCAAAGGCTCTGACAGTACCTGAAAATACTAGTGTTCAAGAAGCTTGTCGTCGGATGGCTGCTCGTAGGGTTGATGCTTTGTTGTTAACTGATTCTAATGCGTTGCTCTGTGGAATTCTTACAGACAAGGTATGACTTTGAACTCAGTGTCGCATTTTGCAAGAAAATAACGTTCACAGAAAAACAAAAAACCAGACTTGCTTGCTTATTTTCAAGGATTCTATTAGCCCCCATAATGTTTCCTTATGCATCTATTCCTTTATTTGGTTGAAGGATATAGCGACAAGGGTTATTTCCCGTGAGCTTAATCTTGAGGAAACCCTTGTTTCTAAAGTTATGACAAAGAACCCGATATTTGTTCTTTCAGACACTCTTGCTGTTGAGGCCCTTCAGAAAATGGTGCAAGGTTAGTATTAAATGAGAGGCAAATTTACTTCTTGGCATACGTTCTTATTGTCGCTTGCTCTTTCTACATGATGATTTCTGCATTTACAGGGAAATTCAGGCATTTGCCTGTTGTGGAGAATGGAGAGGTCATTGCTTTACTTGATATAGCAAAGTGTTTATATGATGCCATTGCTCGAATGGAAAGAGCAGCTGAGAAGGGAAAGGCTATTGCTGCTGCTGTGGAAGGTGTTGAAAAACATTGGGGAACATCTAGTACTGGTTGGTAGAGGGTTTAGTGTTTTCTGTTAGAAGTTTATGTCAGAGACTTTAGATATTTTTGCAGGAATATCTATGTGTTTTATTGGTAGGCCTGCGTGATGACGAGTACACAGTTTTCTGAAAAAACAATAGTAACTTTTGCAATTTTTTCTTTCCTGGAGATGCAGGTTCCAATTCATTTGTTGAGACACTTCGAGAGCGTTTGTTTAGGCCATCTTTGTCTACAATCATTCCAGATAGTACAAAGTAGGTAATATTTTTATGTCTGATGATATATGTGGCCACACACTGATAAAATTTACCAGTTTTGATTTAACAGATCTTTGTCTTCAGGGTCTTAACAGTTTCACCAGCAGATACGCTTTTGATGACAACAAAGAAGATGCAGGAAATGCGAGTAAGCTCGGCAATTGTGACAGTTGATAACAAGCCACGAGGAATTCTTACGTGAGTTTATTGCCTTATGTTTTTTAAAGTAAAAAGTTGCAGTTTACCTTTTCACAGTAATTCTATATCTTTTTTTTTTTGTCACTGTGATAATCTTATTGTTTTATAGATAAGTGAGATTCTAATCTGTGCTTTTGGTTCTTGTCAGCTCAAAAGATATCTTAATGCGTGTAATATCACAAAATCTTCCTCCGAAGACCACTCTTGTAGAGAAGGTACACGTCTCCATCAGTTTTGAAATATTGTTCTTAGGGCTATCCTAATGAAAACCGCAAATGAATCCCTATGTCATTGTTCTATAAGGCCAGATGTTGTAACCTCTGCTGATTCCAAGTAGCGCCTCATTTTATGCTTCTATAACTGAGGAATACATATAGTCCAACTATCTTAGCATTCTCTTGATTTGATTAATAGGTCATGACTCCAAACCCAGAATGTGCTACAGTTGATACACCAATTGTTGATGCATTGCATACCATGCATGATGGAAAGTTTTTGCACCTTCCTGTTGTAGACAGAGGTACAATACTGAGAATAAGCGTAATGTTGTTTTGCTTTGTCAAGTAACAGAAGACTTTTAGTTTATGATAGTTAATGATGACTGGGATGCAGATGGAGCTGTCGTTGCTGTTGTTGATGTAATTCATATCACTCATGCTGCTGTGGCCACTGTAAGTCTAGTCCTTGCGTACTGTTAATTATTACAATCTATTTCAATCTTTCTATATATGTATAGGATAACAGGAATATATTATCTACTGCTGACTCATGCTTTCAGCACTACTTATGAATCAGTCTGTAGTTCTAACCTATTGCACACTTTTGCTCTTCTCGATTGTCTTGTTTACTAGTGGCTTTCACAACTTGAAATTTCCTGGTGGGGAAAACCTACATAAGCTTCACTTTGGTTGTTTAGGGTATCTAACATTCAGAAGAAACACATCATGTTGACATTTCTGTTTTGTTTTCTTTGTTCAATATTCTTTTTAATATTTCTTCACCTTCGGCAATAGAAGATTTCTTACATAATATTTGTTGCTAACCAGGTTGGAAATACAGCTGGAGTGAGCAATGAGGCCACAACCACTATGATGCAAAAGTTTTGGGATTCTGCCATGACCTTGGGTCCCAATGATGATGATGAGGAGTCTCGGAGGTTATACATCTATACATGCATATGATGGATAATAAACATGAAAGTTTCAACTCTTTTTGCCATTTATATGTACTTATGCATTATAATTGTCATCTCAGTGAAAATTCAGTTGAAACTGGCTTCTGAGAGCGCAGAGACAGGGAGATCGCTACCATTTCCACCATCCAATTTTCCAAATACCTTTGCTTTCAAACTTCAAGATAAGAGGGGTCGAATGCATAGATTCACTTGCAGTATGCTCCTTGTTCTAATTACTTGTCAATTTAGTCACTTAATGGGTGCATGCGTGTGTGTGCGCGCGCGCTGCTTCTATTCTGCATCTGGAACATTTGCAGGACATGGTTGGCTTATACTGCCAGTCCATTGTTGCATCCAGTTTACACAAAAGGACTGACCATTTTTAGCTCTAGGTTTTGCCCTCAAATTTCTCCCGAAACCCCAATCGAGCTTTAAATTAGAAGCATGTAATATTATTGTCCAACACTGTTCCTTGGGATAAATTTAGCTCTTAACTGAGTTTCCTCTGTACTTGCTTCCTCTTCAGATATTCAGAGTTTGACAGAACTTATAACCTCCATCATTCAGAGAATGGGAGATGACATTGACCGCAACAACCTTCCTCAAATTTTGGTATTTCTTAGATTAACATCTTAAATTCTTTTAATCTGTTTTTCAGTCTGGCGCTAGAGTTCCCTCATCCTAATCTTATTATTTCAATTGGTGTCGCATTTTGTAGTATGAAGATGAAGACCGTGATAAAGTTATGTTGGCATCAGATAGTGATCTTTTGGCAGCTGTGGATCATGCAAAGCAAGTTGGTTGGAAGGTATGATTTATATGTCTACAGTTGCTAGATGCTTATAGAGGAGAAATATAGCGAAGTTTCCAACAGAATTTGATCTTATTTTTCGGTTATAGAATATCCTGTACTCTACTTATTCCAACCCGAGACTGAAATTATAGGCCATGGTCATGAAATTATGTCGTCCGGGACAATAATATACGTTTGTGATTAGGTATTGAGCTCAGTCTGACGTTGAAAAGATCAACTATGCAGGGTTTGAGACTGCATTTGGATTATTCAGGAACACGCACTCGCCGCCGAAGGGGTTCGGCTACAGGAAATGTGGATTATGCATATGCAGATTCTGCATGGGCATCAGCATACAATGCTGTTGCAGCTGGGGCTGCCGTTGCTGTCGGCTTAGGCGTGTTAGCGTACTTGAAGAGATCCGGTAACTGAGTGATTTCATTTTTTCTGTTTTGAAGCCTAGACAGATTTTCCTAGAGCAGCAGAAACTCACTGGAATTGGCTGGGACTTGGGAGGGCAAACTTCGTGCTTCATACGTGCTTTTTATACAAACTATACGACATATACAAGTGAAATTCACTTCTTCCTTTGCTGATCATTGATCGATAACATGCGCGGCGTTGTTTTTTCTCCGATGCGTACTCTCGCAGCTTCGTGTACTTGTGTAAAGCAAGAACTAAACACCGCCACATGAAATGTACAAGTTCTTGGACTTGGGGGAATTTGGATTCTTGATTTCCTCTTGTCAAAACAGTTCAAAGTGCTATGTTATTGTTGTTGCTAAGAGTGTCGTTTTAGAAACTTTATTTGGGTCTATGATTGACAAGCTGATGCATGGACACGAGAGATGTTATTGGCACTACGAGCTGTCATACTCCTTAAAGAGAAAAATATGAGCAACCAGTGTGATTATTTTGATGTGCCGACAACAGTTTCTTGTGATATCTAAGAAGACATTATTTCACTTCACTTGTGACGATTTTCCAATACTAATTTAAGCTCATCATCGTTTTCTACGCAAACTCGTAATTGTAAGATGTTGTCCTATGTGGTACAACGAAAGGTCAGCAGGTTTTGTGTTCGACTAACAGCTAATTGGATCAGTGTAACATAATCACAACCATGCAATTAAAGTGGAAATCAACAGAAGATGTGGTGACCCCTAGGGGGAAAATACGGAGAGCCAAAATATCGTAGACAATTATACGGAGTATGGTTTCTTCTCCTTGATGTCGTTTTCTTCCATCGCGGTGGACGTCAACCACAGCATCCACTTCGGTTGGTGTCTGTCTGGGCCGTCCAGTGAGGAGGTGGAGCTGCGTATTCTTAATTATCTCTGCCGGTTTGTGGGCCCTCCTGGCCCAAGAACTTCTATCCCTTTTTTGCAATTTTATTTTTTGTGGTAGCAAAATTTGACTTTAAGTTGCTGTCAAATTGCCAATTTATTGGGTTCCTTACATTACAGGCATATCTTTAAGTTGACAAGTACATTTTTTATTGTATTTTTAAATACAAGATATATTTACATGATGATGATCTCTTAAGACTATTTATGCAGTAGTTAACGTTCTTAACCATTTTAGCTACAAGTTCATTGTTATTTTTTTTTATAAATGATAGAATATTTACGCACTTGTTCAATGGAGATCCGGTGTAGCTAGACTAACCAATCATATAATTTTGAATTTTCTATAAAAATGATACTATACTTTAAACTAATATGGATTGTAAAGTGAGGATTTTGAACTCAATTGCATGAAGAAGAGACATTCGTTTTAGCTCATATAATTAGACCAAACCAATGTTTGACATTTCTTCGATATTGTCGCTATTTCCACAAAAATTTCGCCTAAAATTGATAGATTTCATCGATATGCCAATTTTCAACATATCGATTAAATATCAGAGAAATTCTTATATTTTGTTTAAACTAATGTTTGATATCTCTTCCATAATTTCCATCAAAGACAACCGATATCGATATTTTCACTAATATTGATATTTTAAACACTGATTGCAACAGCCCATATGCCTTCAAGTTTAATTATATTGCTTTGTAAAAAAGTTCAATTATTATTTTTAGTTCTACATGAACCACAACTTGATTACCTTAAATCAGGGCCATCAAAATGATTGAATCCCGTGAGTAGGGCAACTTTAAAAAGCATAAACATGTCACTTAGAGTCGCACATTCACATTAAAATGTTACATACTTTATAAGTTTATATACTATTGGATTTAGCCCCACCCACCAAAGTGAAAAAGGCCAAAAAAAAAAAAAAAAGAGAAAAAGAATAAAAAGAGCCCCACAATCTTTTGATACCAAATCTCACATCACATGTGGCATGCTTTCACATGCTTAGCAGCACCCACCAACTTTTGTCCACTAGGAACGATGGTATCTGACGCCCCCACAGAACTGTGCCCCAATTTCCTAAGGACCTGGCTTGCCCTCCCATTTCCATACACTTTCGTTCTTTTCTATTTGTGTGATCACGGTTAAGTTACGTCAACATTTTATATCACTATTACCTTTTTTCTTATTATCTCTATAAAAAAAATCAATATAAAATATTAACGTAGTTTAATCGTGACCGTACAAAATAAGAAGGGATTAGAGTGTATGGAAATTGGAAGGGCAGAGAAGCCAGATCCATTTCCTAATCCTGCTCACAGAATTTGCACAATATAAAATAGAGAAATGCTATCGAGATTTTTTTAAAGTTTGACTTTTTATGGGTTTTTCGTTTCTTTATGTTTTTAACATAATATTTTATAATGTTGACATGAAAATTATGCAGAAAATATGAGATAGTGAATAGTATCCCACCTTTAAAAAAGTCTTTTTAGCATTTTTTTTTTATAATTTTTTATATTAAGGAGTTAGAAATTCGAGTCATACAATGATTAGTTATAGGAGAAGAATACCTATGCATTGTAATTACTTTGATATTTTATTACACTTACGACATATCCAGCCAACGTTTACAAGGTATGTTAAGTCTGAATTTGTGCAAAACCCGTCATCAGTCAAAGGTCTAAATGAATATGTTAAAAACGATGAAGGCCATATTTAGCCGACGACTGATTGCATATAGCAAGCCTTCAAGCCTCTTGCATGGGCTCCAAAATGTGCGTCCCAGATCAAGATAGAAAAATTTAGTCCTGCATGGTTGAGGATGAAATTTTTTTGCCTACAATATTTTTTAAAATGCTTATTGTTAAAATACCATATTTAACATAATCAAAAGCTACGTTTTACTTGCTATAACTGAAAATGGTCTTACGAATAAAATTATTCCGATTACTGACAATTCGTAATCCAATACATAAAAAGCCATGAACTGAACTAAATGGGGTTTAATCGATCTTTAAACTTAGGAATTAGACGGCGTTCACCATATCTAGTGAAACAGTAGAAAAATCATTTACTTCCGAAACGGATGAGAAATGAAGAGTGTGTTGAATTCTAAGCAGTAACTTACAACAATTCAATGACATTAGTTTATTTCTCACGGGTTTATTGGGTTTCTGTCGGCAGTTATGAACTCAATGACATACCACACTTGTCTTGCTCAAGGAAATAACGTCAGTCCATTTATATACCACCACGCCATGATTCCTCTGTTTTTCTCGAGAGCAATTTGTACGAGCGTAACATTACGATCTGATAATATTATGATATGTTAAGAAAGACATTTCGTTTTTATCATAAAAAAAAAAATTTATATATAACATAATATTATTAAATCGAGATGACAAAATAGTGCCTCTATCAGATAAGCCCCTTCTAGTTCTAGGAGAAGGAAAAACAAATTTAATTTTTAAAATTAACTCTCCCAATTAAAAAAAGCACTTGCGTCTCTAAGGGGATGCAGTATCCTCATTTGCGAATAATGTATTTTAATCGAATAAATTCAATGATTAAAATCGTTCAATCTATTTGTTCTCATTTGAAGGTCACTCGCAAAAAAATCATTCGAATTGAAACTTGTTTAATCATCCATACGTATCAAATACATGGACAACTCATCATGAATATATTGTTATGTAGTACATACACCTCGGTTTATTCTATATATTTGAATGATTAAATGATCTCGTATTAAAATAATTTTTTTGTAGAGGTAATCTACAATTGAATATTAAGAAGTTGAACGATTTTGATTATGAATGTTGTTAGAAAAAGATACATTATTTGCAAGGCTCTAAAAAGGCGCTAAGTGCTAGTCAGGAGGAGGGCAACTTAGTGCCTAGCCGTCACCTAGATGATTTTAAAATAAAAGTTGCGACCTAGGCAAGGCTAGACAAGCGTCTCAACAGGTCTAGACGTTATTTTTTAATTTTTAAATGCTTAAGAATTAATTGAAACTGCGACAAGACACTTAGCGTCTAAGCTCTATACGAAGATTTTTAAAACAATGATTTAAAAAAAAAAAAGAGTTGTGTATCCCTTCATGGGATGCAAGTATTATCTTAAAAATAAAAAAATAAATAAATAAATAAATAATAAATAAAAAAGGAAGAAGAAGAAAAGGGCATCACAGGATATGTACGCGTATTTCAGTCAAACATATGACATTCTGTCGCCATGCAAAACTAAATTTGCGAAATAGATGGGACCACGAACAATCTTTATTACCATGTTTATCATAAATAACAGTAAAATAAAATTATAAACAAATTTAATTAATTTTGCAAAACTCAAGTGATTTACGAATTCCCTTTAACTTTTCCTTTTTCAAAAGAAACAAAGCACCATCAAGGACGACAAGGACCTCACCAGCCCAAAACCAGAAGCTTCTCCTCTGCTGTTTTATACTCTCTGCCCTTCAAAAATCCATTGCTTCCTTGATCTCTCTCTCACACTCTGTTTTTTCCATAAATAAATCAAAATTAAAAAAAAAAAAATCCAACCATAGATGCAGTAATTAAATAACTACTATATTTATCCAGATTTTCCTTCTTCTTCATCACCTAGAAGAAAGCAACCCATTTAGCTGAAGAACTCTCTCTGTCCTCCCTCTCTCTCTCTGTCTCTAAGCAATGGGAGCTTCCAAGACCAAAGCTTTCCCACATTTTCCATCGTTTTCCTTCGTTTTCTCACTCTTTCTCACTCTCTCATCGACTTTCCGGCCAACCCATTTCTGCTCTGCCCAGCAGCAGCAACCCATCAAAACCATCGTCGTTTTGGTCATGGAAAACCGCTCCTTCGACCACATACTGGGTTGGATGAAAAAATCCGTTAACCCAGCAATCAACGGCGTCACTGGCAAAGAATGCAACCCGGTTTCAACCAAGCCCGCCGACCCGGAAAAATCCATCTGTTTCTCCGACGACGCCGAGTTCGTGGATCCGGATCCGGGTCACTCATTCGAAGCGGTCGAGCAGCAGGTATTCGGGTCGGGTTCCCTCCCTTCGATGACCGGGTTCGTCGAACAAGCATTGTCAATGTCCCCAAACCTCTCCGAAACCGTCATGAAAGGCTTCAGACCGGAATCCGTTCCGGTCTACGCGGCCCTGGTCAGCGAATTCGCGGTGTTCGACCGGTGGTTCTCTTCAATTCCCGGTCCGACTCAACCCAACCGGCTGTTCGTCTACTCCGCAACTTCCCACGGCTCGACCAGCCACGTCAAGAAACAATTAGCTTCCGGGTACCCACAAAAAACAATCTTCGATTCGGTCCATGAAAACGGGTTGGATTTCGGTGTCTACTTCCAGAACATCCCGACAACAATGTTCTACCGAAACATGCGGAAACTGAAGTACATTTTCAAGT